AGGAGGAGGAGGAGGAGGAGGAGGAGGAGGAGGAGGAGGGGAATGGTAAAATTTAGGAACAGGAGACACTTGTCAATGGCAGCTGGGGATTCGGTTTCAGGGGTGGAGATCTAGGGACGACTCTGTAAATATTGTAACAAGTGTGCCGTCGCTGTCACTCGTGGAAGAACGATGCCGGGTACGGTACACCGGGTACGGTACGCCGGTACGAATACGTCGTTGCTGTGTGCGAGAATAATCGATCGGCCGATTGCAAATTTCCCGTGTCGTTTGTTGTAGAAATTTTACTTGCTTCTCCTATTTTTCGCGTTTAACCGAATTCTTCTCTCTCTTTTCATTACTCGCGCTTCGTCGCTTTATTTCTTTCTTTTTTTTCTTTTCTTTTATTTTATTTTATTATATAAACCACACTATTCCCCCCCCACCTATTTTCGTAAATACCGCGGATGCATAAGTCGCATTAAGTATTTACGAGTCAATTTTCTCTCTGTCGGTTTATTTTCTTTCTTTCTCTTTTGTTTATTGTATTTTTTTTTATTTTTACATTGTGTGTGTTTGTTTTTTTTTCCGGATAGGCGTGTATATAGGTATTAATATATATTTGTAAAATTCATAGGATGCTTTCACGACATCATTTATTCCCGTCGGATAATCCCGCGTAATGTTTAAATGGCTTCCGAATGTGTGTTCGTTTTCAACAACGCGCATCATCTCTTATTTATCATATTCTACTTTGTTGGCGAATGTTTGCCGAATAAAATCCTGCTGCAAAGCTTTTCATCCCCCGGTTTTCCCCGATTATCATCGGAGTTGAGGGAAATTCGTCGAAAGAACCGAACGCGTACCTACGCGCGCGCACGTGATTTTTGTGGTTTTTTATCAACGATTTGCGAAAATATCGGGAGTCATTTTACGTTAAACGTTTCGACGTTTATCGTAAAAAGTTTCATTGGTTTTTTATTATTTCTTGTTATTTTTTTTTTTTTTTTTTTTTTTTTTTTTTTTTTTTTTTTTTTTTTTTTTTTTTTTTTGATTTATTTATCTTCCTTCCCTATCACAAATTCCAAGGGAGAACGTTGGCTCGGAAAATCCTGTTAAGCGAACCGCATCTCTTTCTCTACAATTTTTCTTCCTTAACTTTCTCTCGACCGTCATACGGTTGTCACTTTCACGCATTTCGTAATTTCGTTGGGCAAACATCGCGTTGGGCAAATTTCGCAAAGGGAAGAAATGAAAAGAGATACTCATCTCTCGATTGATATATACTTTTCGCAAGATAGATATAGTCGTCTTTTACTATCTTTTGTCGGACGAAAAATAATGTTTAGTTTTTAGGAGAGAAAAAAAAAGAAAAAGCAAAGAAAAGAAAAACAAGAATGCAGAATAAGGCAAGGAGTAGTAAAAAATCTTGTTAGTGGAATACGATTGGCCACCTTGGCAGTCTTTTCCAGCCATCCAAGTGCATTCACGTATGTCGGTAAGCTAACAGCAAATCGTATAATCTACTCAGCAGGAGTAGTAGTAGTAGTAGTAGGAGCAATGGAGAAAGAAAAGAGGAAGAGAAGGAGAAGAGAAACGCCCCCTCCTGGCCGAACTAACATAAAGATATGCACCCTTGCAGGCTAGCTATGAAATAATCATATGGTTAGCTAATGGCACAGAGCTGCTGGGGTGGTAGCGATTGCTTGCTAGGTTGGAACCACCGAGTATGACGGCTATAAACCAGAGAGAGAGAGAGAGAGAGAGAGAGAGAGAAAGGGGGAGAAGCGGGGAAACGGACGGGGTAATAAATAAATTCAATGTATTTGCCGGGAACACCCCCCGCAAACATTCAATGATAGATTGCAATCTCAGGGCGATGATGATGCACCCACCCTGTTCAAAGCTCTCAGCCCCTGTTCGGACGTGCGTAAAGATCGCTAGATCGGATCTTCCTGGTCTTTCCGAATTGCTTCGCGCTCCTTCGCCCAAAAGATCCTCGCTTACCGACTAGCGAATTTAATTTACTGTTAAGTCCTCGACTAAATTAGCTTCTTACGTTGTCTTATTTTCTTTCTTTTTCCAACTAACTTACTTTCGAATAGGATCGATATCATCTCGTACGGAACGTGTCGTTTAGTTTGATACCAAATAAAAATACAAGTAACCAAAAATATACTTGTTTGGTTATACTTTTCGTTTCTCTCTCTTTCTCTCTTTCTCTCTCTCTCTCTCTCGATTTTTCTTTAAAACGTTAAAAGGGAGCTCGGATAAAAATGATCTTTTTTTGTACTCTCGATAGTACAAAGTTTCATCAATTTTCTATATATTCGACGTTATTCAGATAGAAATCTTGAAAATTGTAGGAGTCACGCGTACGATATTCAAATAAATGCGTTCTTGCATTATTTAGATCGGCAATGATAGTTTTAATTAAGTTGTCTTGCATCGAGTGGCTTTGCTTTTCTTTTTATTATTTCTCAAAGGTGCCTGCGTTTTTGTACATCACGTGTGTTTTCTATACTATACACGAGCAAAGTGTTAAATACATTTATTTTATATGAGAGCGAGCAATTATTCAATACCATCAACCACCAAAAAATGGTGTAGAAGTGTATGAAAAATAAATGTAAAAAAAGGAAAACAGAAAAAAAAATAGAAACATAAAGAACGATATAGAAAAATGTTAGTTGAAACTAATCGATTATGATCAAGATACGTTGACAGTATTTTAGCAAATGACCAACAATGCCGATACGTAGTTTCCTTTTCTATATTATTCGTGTTATTATGGGTTAGGGGATCTCCAAATGTAATCTTGTAAGTCTCGCATTGGCAAATATAGGAACAGTCCAAGCATATAAGTATAATTTCAAGTAAATCCTAATCCACATGGTAAGGCGGCGCATCCCAACGCATTTTATTAGCGAATTTACTTTGATCCCTATGCGATCAACACTCGTTCGCTCATTGTACGTATTTCCCTTTTCCCTTCCGTCATCTTTTTCTTCTCTTCTTTCGTTTCGTTCGTTTCTCTTTGTCAGACGTGTGGCCGAGAGCTTAGGAAGGACTTATCTCGCCCTTCAAATTTATCGACGAATTATGCGACGATAACACGAGTCGTTACTTTTTCCTACGACGATAAACACGATTGACGCCCAATCCTATCGAATATTATTTCTTTTTTTTTTCTTAACTAATTTATATTATTTGCGACAAAACTATATTGGTCGCGATTTGAAATGTAACGTTAGGTGAAATAATGTTAAATCATCGGGCAGACGACGACAAACGCGAAAACGTCCGTAAATAATAGCCCTATCAAAATGATCGTTGGATCCTCTTGGCTCGTGCCACGTGACAGGACTTTCAACATAGAAAAAAGTATGAGAGTTTGTCGCGTTGTACAGATCCCCATAGCAACGCGTACACCCACGCTTAGACATTTTCGCATAGGATTAGCTTCCAGCTAGTTATGATTAGACGCGACAGTTGGGCCTACGGCGGCAGCAGCACACACAACCAACTACGATGCACTTGTGTCGTATTGTATATTCCAATAGCCATTGGCATCTACATATACGTATGTGTTAAAGTTTGGTTAGTATCTGTGCATAGAAGCATTAGGGATGGCGATAATACGCACTGACAGCCACACACCCCTCGACAACGAGGCACACTCTACTTTGTAGGGGCACACGAGTGCAAAATGGTGGGGATATGGGGTTGCCTACGAAAAGAAGAAAAAAGAAAGAAAAAAAAAAAGAAAACATAAAACAACCCGATAGAATGAGCATCGCGTGCTGACAATGTTCAACCCCCTCTTTCTCTTACACGTAGACAGAAATATGGTTATCTTTTTCTTTCTCTCGCGTATATCTACAGATACGGTCATCTCTCCCCCCCCCTTGCTCTTTGTAGTTCGCTGATGTTATAATCCTCTCGTGTTACACCGTCACACATGCTGTTCTGTAAGCAATACACTGTTTTTTTCCTTCTTTCCTACCCATATGCACACTTTACTGCTACCACCACCACCACCACATTGTGTACTTTGTGGGCCCAATCGTAGAATAGCAAGTCAGGTTCTCTTAAGCACGTTGACAACGTCTACTATAATAAAAAATGATATTTATTTTTGTTACAGATATTTGGTAGCAGGTGGTCTTATCGATAAAGTTGCGCTTCACGCTCGCGCCCTCATCGAGGCGGATTTTTTTTTGGACCAAGAACACGAATCACCATTGCTGTTAGCCTCCTTCGATCTTTTATCGCGTATTTGTTATCATTTGAAACGTACGACGACCACTCCCGACAATCCTATCGTTCATAGTGGTGGTAGCAGCAGCGGCAATAATAATAATAATAATAATAGTAGTAATAATAATAATAGTAACGAAAATAACGAACAAACGACGAGTACGGAGACTCATCTGATTTCGAGTTTGTTTACCTCCGAGGCAGCTGGCGCGATCGGTGCTCTTTATGCAGCAGTTGCATTGAACACGGTTAATCAAAAAGGATCCTCGCCTACGCCGAATCAAACGATGCCTTCGATTGCTACGAGAATGTTGATCGTTCGTGGACTTGGATTACTCAAGGCTTTCGCTGAACTCGATCTTCAAAGGTTCCAGGTGAGTTACGTATCATTTTCAATATATAGAAGTAACTTGAAATCAAATTCAAATAATAAATTCTATATAATATTCTTTGTTTATTACTATTTAACCACAACAACAAAAAAAGAAGGTATCGTTAAAGCGAATGATTATTCCATTTAGAAAAAAAAGAAAAAAAAAAAGAAAAAGATATTAACGCGTTATCTTCGAAGAGAGTTAGGTGAATATACTTAGGGGACTACCTAAAAGAAGAGAAGTCAGATAAAATAGAAAGGAAAATGGGTGACTAACTTGTTCAAGCTCGGAATAGAGTAGAACGTATTCTTTTAGGCGCCTCGTCCACGTCCACTCAAGTAATTAGGTGCCGAGAGAAAGCTGTCGTTCGATCGATCGAGAGAGGACAAAGGTCTTTTAGCGAACCCTTTCCTTCGCCTAGCCTGAGGCAACCTTATCTCTCTATCGTTTCTATTTTCTTTCCTACCCATCTCTTTCTTTCTTTATTACCTTTCAATTCATTCGAGACGTTAACTCATAGCGAAAGAATTCTCAATGTTGTATCATTTTTCATTTTGTTTCAATCCTATTTCGCGAGAATTTTCATTATTATAAAATATTTGTTTTTATATCAACGTTACCTAACTATTATTGTTGTGTTGTTTGATCGGAAAAATAAAAGCATCTATCGTAAAAGGAAAATCAGAGTCTTTCTGGCAAGGTCTCCTGACGGCTGTTGTTCTTCTCTCGGTTCACAAAGGAGTTTTGTCATTAGATGCACGCGTTACACACATATTTATAGAGCTGTAGTTGGTATATGTCGGACTCTCGATGGAGATATCGTGTATCGTGGGGTTCAGCTGTCAAGGAAGAAAGCCCTCCCGTGAAGTTCGCTACGATGAGACCACCAATTGAATCGAAACGGCACCTCGCGCCCTACCTCCCTCTCCCTCCATCAACCATAAAAAGCATCAGGGGCTATCCATCCGATGGTCCCGTAGGATAGGACCGCGTGCTGGCAACCTTGCACGGCGCACCGTTTTCTCCCACGGGATACCTCGTCGATTATCCCTGAGAGTGTGGGCCCTTTCTCTGTTGGATCTCTCCCGTCCTAGTGCATTTGCCGAAAAACCAACGTTTATTATCCATTCTCTTTGCTCTACTTCGTCGTTCCGTGATTAGGATTGCTCTCTCCTACCAATATTTTCTTTTCCGCGATTAATTATTATATATTTTTTCTTTTTCTACTTTTTGTCGAAATATTGTATCAAGGTATATTACAAACATTTGCTTTTCTTCTTTATCTGTGTCGACAATTTTAATCAAACGATCCATGCGATCGGATCAAATATTTCTTGTTTTTTTTTTTTCTATGGGATATTGTTCAAGTATGTTACTAACATTCGTTTCCTTTCCCCATATCGAATATTTGCAAGCGATGAAATATTGGCTTTTTTTATTGTTGTTGTTGTTGTCGTCCTTTTTAAGAATATCGTTGAAACGTTTTCTACAATTGTTAATTTTCCTTTTATTTAGAATCTTCTAGGATCGGAAGGAACGAGTTTGCAGTGGCGATTGATAACGAGTCAAGTGATAACCCGTCTATCACGAGATCCGCTTACGGAAAAATCAAGTTCTAGTACTACTAGTAACAACCTGAACACCAGCGGTACTTACATCCTATCGGAATTGTTCACGGTTCTTGGATATTTTGCTGTTAACAATTCGGAAAATCAGGTAATAATTTGGATCGGAATCATTTGATATAAATAAAAAAAAAAAAAAAAAGAAAAACCGTTAAACACAAATACATTTGGATATAAGTAAGAGAGAATATTTTGGTAAATGCGATCGAATACAAGTATTTCGTTTCGTAAGACGTTTGTATTCGAAGGGTTAATTACTAAGAAACACGTGTTGGAGAGTATTCGACCGTGGCGTATAGGTAACTTGCTTTAGATAGGGGCAAGAGAAGAAGAAAAATGTGTCGATGCAAAGAGGAGGGAGAAAAAGATAAATAAAAAAGGGCCATGAAAGCGAACAATCAGGCTCACGGTAGGTAGAATTTTCAGGTTCCTTGAAAAAGGAAGATGCACGAGAAACATATACCATCCTTGGGCAGGTTGAGAGAGAGAGAGAGAGAGAGAGAGAGAGAGAGAGTAAGAGAGAGAGGGGGGGGAAGGGAGAGATTAGAAGAGTAGAACGAATGCACTTTGGTGTTTGGAAGTTGCCGAGATGCTTGGTACTACTTCTAATCTTAGGTGGCCATTCCTTCGATATCCTCGGAACATAGCTCGAATGCCACGCGGTTCCTTCCGAGCATAGAAAGAAAAAAAGAGAAAAGGGAAAAGAGGGGGAAGGTCTTCGAGGTCCCGATATCTCGAAAAATGTCCCTCACGATAGTCACGCAGAAAAAAAGAAAAGGTACGTTATGACGCCGTACCTAAACGGCGCCAGTCTATGGGAATTTCCTCTCCTCCCAAAAGACCAACATTTTTCTACAATATTGTCATACCTTGTTGCACCCTCTAGATCTTCTTTCAACCGTTACCCACAAAAATTCCGTCAACAAATTCTCTGAGAGACTAGAGGAAAAGGTTTTAGATAGCAATCGGGATGAAAATTTGTCGATGTCAGGTCGGGATACGTGATGCTGCGAATAATTTTACAATCGATATAATATATTTATTCGAATTTATTTAATAACCGTACATTTATATATATTTTTATACGCGTTGATTAAAAAACACTGTGAATTATTTTTGGTTTTATTGTTCTGGGAGTTAGCTTTTTTTCTCGACACGGTACAAAGATTTTCTCTCGATTCGTTTCGATGAAAATCGCTTGAGGGGGAGAAATAAATAGAAAAGAAAATCTGACAAATTTTTTTGTTCGAGACGAAATTGCCACATTGCTTTTCTATCGAATTTATTTTACGAGAAAGAGAAAAACATTACCTTACGTAAATTACCAACCCCCGGTTTATTTTCGTTTCGTACGGAATAAAGAAAAGAGAAAAAAGAGAGAAAGAGTAAGTCGTAGTGGCATTCGTGTAAAAAGATACTGAAGGATGCGTTGTCTGAATTACATAAACCACTTAGAATGACTTCATTCCAAACAGTCTTGTTTGTACTTTTCTTTACGTTTATATCGAACTAATCCATATAACAAACTGTTTAACTTAGTCGATTGAATTTATCTTCGTTTGCAAAAGTCAAATAACATACAACTCTTTATTTTGTGTTGTTCGTACAAATTGATAAATAAATTATTTGGAAAAAAAAATGTATCTACCTATGGGAAATTTGGTCGAATAGGAAGAAAATCGAGTTCGGCGTTCCGTTAGAAACACCAAATACTTTCACCCGATAAAGAAAGGGACTTTTCCGAGTTGGCACGCGCGCCTGAACAAAGCAAAAAGAAGAAAAGGAAGAAGTAGAAGTAGAAGAAGAAGAAAAAGGGAAGATGATGATGAAGATGAAGATGAAGAAGCGGTTAGAAGAGTTTCTCGCAGATGTTCGTAGGAGCTTAAAAGTGTTTCGTTTCTCGCGTACACTACCACTTGGAGGAGTTTTCTCGATTGGTAGGGCCGTTAGTTTGCCGAGGGAGAGAAAAAGAATAAAAGAAGAAAAAAGATAGGGATGGGGGGATGTAGAAGTTGAAGAGGGGTGGTAGCGACGTCTTAAAAAGAGCCGAAAGACTCGGCGAAAGACGAATGTGCAACGTCGGCGATGCACTCAACGTTACATCCCGATGCGGGAACGTTCATGAATGTTGGATCGATGCACACGCCTCTTTTCTATGTATTTATCTATCTATATCTGGTGGTGTTGCTCTGCGTGTTTGTGTTATACGCGTGCAAGAGCGCACGCTCCTGACGTATGGAATGGAACGTAGTAAATATATCTTAACGGCATTCGCTCCTATATTGATGGGAGGTCCGCTGAGTGTGTTGTGTCTAACAGCTTCTTCCTCTTTCTCTCTCCGGCACCCATGTTCAACACCGTGCACTGCATTTCACGGCAAATGTAACGGGTGACGCCACCGAAGAAAGCCGTCTCCGTCTCCTCTCTCCTTTCTTTTTTCCTTTTATTATTACCGACCCATACATTTTTTTTATTTCAATTCTATGCATCCTGTAATTTTTCACACAAAATATACATATATTTCAAATATTTCTCAATTAATTGATTGGAAATAAATGCACCGAGAGAAAATCTATCGAACCGTTTAGAAGAAAAAGAAGAAGAAGGGCTTTGTACTTTTAACGTACTCGAAGAAATGTAAACAAGCGATGTGGGTACTTCCTATATAAGAATTCCGTGCAGGTGCATTTTCCAAGTAATTTGTTTTCGTTCTTAGGACAGTCAAGAACTCCTCCTCGCAGATGTCTTAGCGTTTAGTTAGTATAGTTCTTTTCTTTTCTTTTTTAGCTTCCGTGACACCTGGTTGGTAAACTCCTTAGACGTTCCTTATTTCCCACGATTATTTATGTATTCGTTACATCATATTAATTATTATCTAGTGGATCGATTTCGTATTTTTTTTTCTTTTTTTCTCTTTTCGTTATTATGATACGGGTCATTTGCAAGTTTCTCCAACGAATTTATTTGCGACATCCAACGAAAAGATACGATTTATAATATGTCGATATGTTAAATCTTACTCGAGTACACGTTTTATTTGATTTGCATTTTTTTTTGCTTTTCTTTATAATCGTTGCAGTTGATCCTCCAATCAGCCGGAGCTGGACCAAGCGTTCTTCAACAATTTTGTACATTACCCTTCCCATTTTATGGCGATCCAAGGTTAACGCCATACACATTAGCCGCATTACTGGCAGCTACGCATTGCAATCCGGAGGCTAAGGCAATTTTATCTTGCGAATTATCTTATCAGGTAAGCGATTATATATATATATATATTTATTCAGTTTTTTTTTCATGCATACACGTGTCTCCTCACATTTTATGGGTTGCGTTTATTTAGCTTTTTTTTTTTTTTTTTATTTTTAAATTCTAAATGTAAATTTCATTTTTAATCATAGTAAAAATACGATTTTATCCCCCTAATTTTGAAAATTACGAAATCTCACGTAAATAATCAAACACTGTTATTTCGTTTCGCAGCTTCTGGAAGAGTACAGAAACTCCGAGGAAGGTAAACTGAATCCTCTGGTACGTTTACTGAAGGATCCTTCTAGTCCTTGATATCGAAAAGGGTTTTGATTAGTTTGCTTTTCTATTCGTTAGAGCATAGAAACACATAGAAAAATAATCGTTCGTTACCATATTAAGCGTAATTTCGTTCGTTCATTTTTCGTCTATAGTATTGCGAGTCTCTCTTTCTTTCTCTCTCTTTCTCTCGCACGTGAGAGTATTAAAAAAAAAAAAAGAAACAAAAAATATAATAATATAACAATTATACGATACATACATTACGTTACGCGTGCATTCACATAATCGTTTCGCGAATTTCAGCAAGTCTTAAGGCTGGTTCCTCGAGACGAACAATTGTTTCAATTAATTAATTAATTAATTAATAAATTTATTTATTATTATTATTATTATAACTTTTCTTTACGTTTATCAACGGGTCATACTCCACATTCAGGTCGTCAATTTAATAGTCTTCTAATATGATTAACGAGTTATTTATATCCGTTGAAAGAGAAACTCCGGTGCCACGCGTGTTTACAGACGATTTTGTTCATATTTTTTCTTCTTTTTTTTTTAACGTCTTCGTCCTTCGCACACTATTAAAATGAATTAACGTAAATGCTTCGATGGCTACGATGCTGCCTATGTAACTCGAGAAAAATTACAAATAATCCGCGGAGAAAATCGGAGGAAAGAGGAAAGGAGAGGAGAAAAAAAATACTTTGACGGTTACTAGCGATTAGAAATGGTAGGAAATATTAATTAGAAACAATTTGTACGAGGATACAAAATTTAACGGGTTCGATTCGAACAGTTTCAAAATGAAGAAGAAGAAGAAGAAAACAATGGTTATATTTTGAATATCTGTCATAAGTTAAAAAAATGATTTTATTTGATTTGATTAATCGTTGGAATCGAGCTCGTACATTTTTGAATCTAGTCCTTTTTCACAGCTGATGATGATCGTACATCATTTAGACGTCGTATTAACAGCACATAGAAATACACAGATATATATACGAGTATATATATATATATATAAAACGCATTGGTACATATATATATTTATATATATTTCCTTATATAATCCGCTTTTTCGTGGTAGAATAATAAAGCTCGCGAGATGAGTGAAGAACGTGTCTTCTAAACAAAAAATTAAAATAAAATAATAATAATAATAATAATAATAATAATAATAATAATAGTAATAATAATAATAATAGTAATAATAATAATAATAGTAATAATAATAAATGAGCCTTCTATAAAATTGATTTCTAATATTAATCTAACGATATATATTAGAGAGACTCTGTTAGAAACTTAGACTATTAGATAACACTCTTTTTGCGTGCGAGTGTTAACCACGTAAACTGTACCAGCAACGTTGGCTGATCTGTGTGAACAAAAATATTTTTATTCTTTATATTATTATTATTATATTTCTTTATTATAGGTAATTTATTTTTCTTTCTTTTTCTGTTTTATTATTTATATGTATACAGAGTGAGATAAAAGTCCCTTCCCTCGGAGATTGAAGATTCGTTTATGTAAGTAATTTGTTCATCGTGCAAATGAACAAACAGCAGATATTTTTGTATTGCTTTTTTATGCGGTTTTTGTTGCTAAATATTTTTATTTTTGATATAGTGGAAACATAATAAAAGTACAGATTTTCTAATAATCAATTCTCAAGCAGAAAATGCGATTTTTTTTTTTTATGGGTGAATCTAATCAGTCGTTGCAATCATGTTTAAGGTTCGTCATATTTCTAAAACGATAAAACTCGAAAAAATGTGATTATTTGTATTTTCTTTCTTTCTTTTTTTTTCTTTTTTAAGTAAAGTGCAATATTTGTTTTATTCGTGCTAAGTTATTGTTTATTAGCGAATTATACGGATAGTAAAGATTTGATTGAAATAAATACTTAATCCGATGGATGCGAGTACTTATTTATATATATAATATATATATAATATATAGTACTTATTACNAAAAAAAAAAACAAAAAAAGGAAAAATTTAGATTGAAAAGTGGAATAAATACTCTCACATTGATTCGACTGTAGAAGATGCCCGTTACCTTTAACACGACACGATACGAACGAGATTACACACAGATTACTCTTTTTTAATTAGCTATATCATAGAAAAATACCATTCTCGTTAATCGCGAATCGTGCACAAACTATACATACTCAATATTATAATTATAATATAATAAGATTTAATAATAATATTATAATATTATATATTTTGTCAGGAGACCAAAAGTCGATCGTCCTTTTCTTTTTATATCAAATCGCTATAAGCTTTACAAAATTGATCATATGAGTTTTTTACGTATAATTATACGCTATGTGTAGTTATGTTAATCGTATGTGTATACGTTTATATTTAATTAGATTAAATATATATAAATATATATGTACGTATGTATATATGTATGTATTACGTTGTCCAATAAATTCATGCAATTTTTGCCGTTCTATTGTTTTAGAAAAAAAATCGCATAAACTTTCTGAATAATCTAATATATATATATATATATCAGAATGTTGTGTCAAAGCAGGCATTTATGTTTTAGATGAATTTAAGTATATGTTTGTGTATTAATACATTTAATAATAATCGCCGATACATACATACATATATTTAATATAATACTAGCGTACATTATTGCATTGGCAGGACATTGCACTGGTGCGTTTGTTACTGCCCACGAAAACTAGTACCAGATTTCATCTCTACACTTAGTTACACATATATATATATATATATATATATATATGTGTAACTAAGTGTAGAGATGAAATCTGGTACTAGTTTTCGTGGGCAGTAACAAACGCACCAGTGCAATGTCCTGCCAATGCAATAATGTACGCTAGTATTATATTAAATATATGTATGTATGTATCGGCGATTATTATTAAATGTATTAATACACAAACATATACTTAAATTCATCTAAAACATAAATGCCTGCTTTGACACAACATTCTGATATATATATATATATATTAGATTATTCAGAAAGTTTATGCGATTTTTTTTCTAAAACAATAGAACGGCAAAAATTGCATGAATTTATTGGACAACGTAATACATACATATATACATACGTACATATATATTTATATATATTTAATCTAATTAAATATAAACGTATACACATACGATTAACATAACTACACATAGCGTATAATTATACGTAAAAAACTCATATGATCAATTTTGTAAAGCTTATAGCGATTTGATATAAAAAGAAAAGGACGATCGACTTTTGGTCTCCTGACAAAATATATAATATTATAATATTATTATTAAATCTTATTATATTATAATTATAATATTGAGTATGTATAGTTTGTGCACGATTCGCGATTAACGAGAATGGTATTTTTCTATGATATAGCTAATTAAAAAAGAGTAATCTGTGTGTAATCTCGTTCGTATCGTGTCGTGTTAAAGGTAACGGGCATCTTCTACAGTCGAATCAATGTGAGAGTATTTATTCCACTTTTCAATCTAAATTTTTCCTTTTTTTGTTTTTTTTTTTTATTAATCAAATAAGTAAATAGTATATTTATTGGGTTGTGTGTAACTTTCTGGTGTATTATCGTAAAATTTGGCATATCTCTTACGTACGAATTATGATCAGTATTATATAATTATACTAGTATACATTTACATTTAAAATGATCAGAATTAAAAGATAGAAAAAATAATTGAATGTTTACTCTCAATATTATTGCATACTCAAATAATAAATAGAAATTGCAAAAGTTAGACCGTTTAAATCGATCGTCGTTATCTTACGTCCGTTGCTTTCGAGATCGTGATAATTCCATCTGCCTTTTTTTGCATATAAATAAATAAATAAATAAATAAAAAAAATAGAAATAATCCTGCATCTTGTAAGATGTAGCCACGTAATAATTCAGAATAAGAAAACTAGGAAAATTTAAATAGCGATACATAAATATTATAAGAGTTAATAATAATCATTTAGGTTATTAATTCTATTCCGAAACGTCTTTCGACGCTAAACTTTATATAAAAAATGAATTTTGATTCAAGAATCAGGATTAGAGCGATCGCACAATATTTCCAAGATTTCCTACGTTCGCATAAGTTGCTCGATAAAAAGGGTACATTAATCCGATTATTCTTGAAACAAAAATCGACGAAATGTATGTTTGCGGGATAAAAGTTCGTTCGGAAATGAGTCAAATATTATTTCCAACAATAAGTATTATACTTTAATCGTCAATTTTTGTTTGTTCTTCTGTTCTTTTCATTAATTTGATGAAACGTAAATTCGATTCGATTACTCTCCAGAATGATATTTTTCTCATAATCCGAATATTAAAACACTTTGAAAGATCCAAATAACTGTAAAAGAAAAAACAAACAACTATGTTTTACACGAGACACCAGAAAAATATTTCTTATAATAATAATTAAGAAGAAAAAAAAACAGTAAAAGAAGTAGAGGAAGGAAAAACTAAAGAATCTCACACATTCATCGGATCTTCGAATACGATCGGATGCGAACAAAATAATTAAATAATGATAATAATAATAATAATAATAATAATAACAATAATAAAAAAAAATGAAGAAAACAGCATTGAAGGCAAATCAGTAAAATTTATTTATCTTCACATCACCAAAATATTCGATACTTTTAGGTGCGTATTTCCTTTTCCATTCACTTCATTTTATTTCATTTTTTAACTTTTCGAAAGTCATTTTCGAGTGGTCGAGAAGAAAAAAAGAAGGGACGACAAAGAAAGAAAAAGTTAAAACGATTGGGAAGAAAAGAAATCGAAGTTGTCAAAATGAGAGGCAAGTTTTTTTGCGAATTCGATGCGGTGTTTCGTGCCTCGATAAAATATTTTTTTTAAGGTTCCTACACTTGGTTTCTTTTTTAACCCTTTGCACAGGAGACGATTTTCCATATATTTTTTGAATTTTTTACAGCTATCGTTCTAATGATTGTACGAAATAGAATCAAGGAAAAAACGAGCTCATCCTCATTCGAATTGATTCGCAAAATAAAGGAGAACCTCGAAATAAGAAATTGTGAAAAATCAACACGTACAAAAGCCGCCCACGATCGATCGATCGATCGATGAGTCGATTATTAACGATTCCCAAAAGGTTTTTTCTTTTTTTAGTTGCCTTGTTGGTTCAGTGGCTATTCGGCTGCCAATCTTTTTCTTCTTTCTTTCTTTCTTTCTTGCCATTTCGTCTTATCTTTGGCTGTCAGTGTGCTCCGATTCGTCAGGCTTAATGGCAAAACAAAACGACGTACGCGTGGACTTTGGAAGGCCTTTAATCATCTACCATGTAGCTACCTCTCTTCGAAGATCTATCTCAAAGTCTCTGTCAGGCTTTCTTTGGACACTCCTCGATATCTCTATCTCTTTCTTTCCTTCCTTCCTTTCTTCCTTCCTTTCTTCCTTCCTTCCTTCTTTTTCTTTTCTTTCTCTCATTCCGATGCTCTTTGAAAATCATTCCCAAAAAAACAAACAAAACAAAGAGAAAAAGAGTCTACCGTTGATTTTTGTTTTTTTTGTTTAACTCGTCTAAAAGACTGAAAAGGAAACACTCCTTTTGGTCACCCTCGATATTTCTTTCTTTCTTTCTTTATTATGCTCTGACAAAATTGACAAAAAGAAACACTTCGATCAGGAATAATTAAATTTATAATACAATCCTATCAGAAGAACTCCTACGAAAGTGAAAACAGAAAAGAAGCTAAAAATCAACCCTTAAAGAGAATCAACACAGAAACCGATATATTACCAGAAGTAGAAGAAGAACAAATGGAAAGTAACGGAACGAGAAGTCTATGAGAAGGAGGAAGAGAAGCTTGCATACGTATGTATAATACACACGTATATACACAGATATGTTTAAATGTACATATCATCTACACATTGAATTTGGAGTGGATCGCGCATCGTGGATGACGTATGGAGTTCGGAGGGTAATTTTTTTTCCAAAGCGTTTTAGCGCGACCAAGCGCCTTCGAAGCGCCTCCAAGCTTTTTCCATGGGTCCCGTAATCTATAGGCGCACTTAATACAGCTGCTCGTCCAAGTAACTTCCCATTCTCCTCCTTCTTTTTCTTCCATCTCTTTCCCTCTCTCTCTCTCTCTCTCTCTCTCTCTCTCTCTCTTTCTCTTGGCTTGCA